ACGACTCTGGAATCCCCTACCTCCTGATTTAAGAAACATCTCTTCCTTCTCTCTCTTTAAGTCCCAACTCAAAACTCACTTGTTCAAAATAGCTTATCCCACATAACCTCTCCACTCTGCTCTTTTAAATTAGTTTATGTCTTATGCTTTTACGATTGTGTAAACTGCTTGTTTTTATGTTGCTTTTTATTCTAATGTGTACAGTGACCTTGAGTTTTTGAAAGGCGCTTTCAAATAAAATGTATTATTATTATCTTTGAAATATCTCAGTGTGACACTGATACTGTACATGAGTGTGGTAGGTTTTGAAAACAGCATCAGCAGAGTACACAGCAAAGGGGAAAGGAACAATTGTTCCTTTCAAATTTTTTACAAAACATCCAATCCTGGATCATATCCATATCCACTTAGGATTGAGTGATCCAAATACACCACATTGTGACAATAGCCACGGCATAGCAGCTGATGAGCAGCAGATAGATACTGCTCATGGCACCACTGGTGCAACTAGACTTGCAGTCAAGACCGCCTAAACCAAGACCAAGACCAGAGGGTATCGAGACCAAGACAAGACTAAGAACAAGTCGAGACCAAGTCGAGACGAGACAGAGTCAGACAAAAAAGTCTTTAAACTGCAGCCAGATGCTGCTTCGTTTACGGGTGTCAGGCATATTTATGTGTTTTTGCTTTAGCACGTCTCTCACCCTCTCTGTTTTTCACACAATGATATTATCCTATATCCTCGCATGTGATTGGCCACAATATGGAGGGATTGGAGCACAGCTGAGGCACTGTGTGAGAGCTGAGCAGCGAAAGAAAATAAAGCGAGGGTAGAAATGACTGATAGATTAATAGGCTCTGTTTTGAGTTTTGTTCAAAAAAGAATGACTTCATATAGGAAAAAATAAATATCACATATGCAGGACACCTTAAACTGTATCAAGACACGAGGACTAAACCCCAATTCAAACAGACCCAGAACTGATCGGGAATCAAAACAGGACTACAAGAGTTCAAAATCAGGACTACTGAGGACTTAACCAAAACAGAACCAGAATCAAAACTAGATGATAGTAGCACTAAAAATCATCATAGACCTGCACTACACTTATTTTTTAATTCTACCAAAGTCCACTATTTAGATTCAGAGCAGCTTATATAATTATTTAGCCTTATTGTGCAAACAAGCCTGCATAACTTAATAAATATAGAATTTGAAAAGTAACAAATGGTATCTCAGAAGTCACACAAGGTACTAGATACATGTTCTGATGAGTTTTAGCAAACAACCATTTGACTAACATGTGTGTCACCTGCTCTTGTTCCATCTCTGTTCTGTCCTCTCTCTCTCTCTATGTTCCTCCCTCTCTCTCCCTCTCTGCCTCCTCTCTCTCCCTCTCTGCTCCTCTCTCTCCCTCTTTGTGCTGACAATCAAGCCAAACACCAACATCATCAAATATACAGTTGAAACCAGACATTTACACACTCTTCAGATAAAAACACAAAAACGTTTTTAATTGTAACATCGAATCAGACTAAATGTTTATTTTTTAGATTAATAAATATAAAAACATATTTGTTAAATTTAAGAGTAAATTGTCTGTATTTCTTAATTGTAAATGGCACCAAATTGTATTCAAAATTGAGCCACACTCATGGAGCTCCACAATTCTTTTCCTGGTGTTTTGGTTGACATCTCTTGATTTTCCCATTTCAAAGAAACAGGCTCTGTGTTTTGCCTTATATGCATCCACAGCTGTGCCACCAATTTACTCACATGGACTCTACGAACCTGTCAGAAGCTTCTTCAGCTCAGAATGGAATCGTCTGGAGTTTTCTTATTAATTAACAATAAACTTAGTGTATATGTACTCCTAAATTTGATGAAAGTAATGAAAAATAGACAGCTTCCTCTTTTTATTCTGACATTTAACTAATTCAAAAGATATTTCAATATTTATTTATCTAAAACAAAACAAGTTTACTCTAAATTGAGGTTTAACAGTAAAAAAATGTTTCTATGTTTTCTCTCTAAAGTTTATGTAAAGATCTGGTTTCAACTGTGAATATACTGCAGTGAATTGAAATTCCTCTTGTTTTGCATAGAAATATACTGAACAACATCCAAAGCATAATACATAAAATAACATCTACCTGAGTTTTTTCTTTGAAAGAAGCTCCTTATGGCCATTGTTGTGTTCATCAGTACATATCTGAAACCGATTTAGTTTGTTTAGCCGTGGAGGGTAACAACTGAAAATATGAAATAAACACACATGTAAGCTAAGACTCTCTAAAAAGAAAGCATTATTGTTGTTCGGCTTTTCATTTCGCCATTTGTTGATTCACTCGAAGAGCAAGTAACGTAATATGGGTCAAGTGATCAGTTTGATATCAATCTTTTGTGAAACATTGTCATATTTACATTATTAGAACAGTGCCAATGATTTGCTTTGGTACCTGGTCAAACTTAAGCTCTCCTCTGTCTGCAGTAAACTCGCAGGGAGCAGCTTCTCCCCCCTTGCTCACATGCGCAAGCGTTGTGCTGAGTCTACTAGTGCCTGAGCTCGGATCATACCAAAATTAAAGGGAATTTAGTACTGTGTGCTGTGCGCTTGGAATATGGTGTGTAGTTTTTGTTTTATAGTTGTCAGTCAGGCATCTTACTATGAAACAAATTACACTCCAAAAGACCCCGGGCTTCTGAAAAAAATGACCCGGGCTTAAGCCCAGTAAGCCACCCCCCATGGTTGACTCCAAATCTCCTGAACACTTTGTCGATCTGAGAAAGCAAGACCAAGACCACGTAAAAGTGAAGACCGGTCTCGAGACATCCAACTCTGGTTTACAGTTGTCATATTTCACTAGCCCCCTTAGTTCAAGGTTTCCCTAATAATTCTTCAACTGACAAATGTTTACACTCATTTTAACTTAGTAAAACCTTTGGCACTTTCTTTCCTTTAAGACATTAATAAAAGGCAAATTTATATCTATTGCTTTTGAAAACTACAGCCATTCAGTGAGCGTCTAAGACTGCTTTTTCAGGTTCCTTTATTTGTACCTGTAGGCAGATTTTGCTTAAGTTTACAATTAACATCTAGACACTCATCGCAAACTTGGCCCTTTTGAGGTTTCCCACCATCACAAACCCAAACACCACCACGTCATAGTTTCCTCATTCATTGCTTTATTGAAAAATCTGGGTCATTTATGCATCAGCGATAGTGACTTCGACCTCTACACCAGGTTCGATGCTGATGGAGGTGATCTGCTTGACAATTTCAGATGGGCTGTGCAGATCAATCAGGCGCTTATGGATCCTCATCTGGAAGCGATCCCAGGTTTTGGACCCTTCACCACAGGGAGTCTTTCTGGTGGTGATGCGCAGAGTCTGGAGGGAGGAAGAGAAATGCATTTTACTTTAATAAAATGATCAAGCATTCAGGATACGCAATCAAGAAAAAGCAATTTATTCCAATGTGGTGTTAGATAAGAGTTCTGAGCCATGGTCTTCAGTACCTTGGTTGGCATGCGGACAGGTCCCTTCACCTTCAGGTTCTTTTCCTTAGCCCCACGGATCAGGTCTGCGCAGACTGCAGAGCAGAAATGCACAAAAACTTGAAAACACGGCCAGTCATCACTTTGCCTTGATTTGCTTTCCAAGCCGTGGCTCAGAATAGCGTATACATAAATCAGGGTTTATCAGTCAAATTTTTGTCCTCATAGCTCAGGTCAGGTTAAACTCACAACATTAACTAAATCTGAGCTTAATTACCCTTCTCCAGAGATTTGACGTTGCGGCTGGTGAGGGTGATGCGGATGCGGTGGATGGCAACCTCAGTGTCAACTGGTGCCTTGCCGGTGTCCTTAAAAGCCTGGATGTGAGGAGGAAAAAGCAGTTACTCAGGCCCATCCTTGATATTGCAGGACGATGTATTTAAAAAAAAAAAAAAAAAAGGGGTCCACAGACTATTACACAGCATGGCTTACAATTAAACAAGCCCCCCCCCCAAAAAAAAAAAAAAAAAAAAGGGGGAGATCTCAAGAACACGCGCAGCGAACTAGTTTAGGTTTGATTCCTTTTACACTGATTCGGAAGCCCGGGCAAAAGCACCTGAACGCAGCGGCAGAGAACTATAATTTGGGACACCCCGATGATTTACTTTCAGCAACAACCGGCCCCCACAAAACGCGCGAGTCAAGAGGAAGCTTGAACTTTATATAAGAGTCTTCTGCCTCGCTTAGAAATGCGCCGAAACGTTAACTGTGCATTTAACATCCACAGCCGCATGAATCTACAGCTTGCTAACGTTAGTAACTATCTACAGTCCGTTTGGACGGTGTTTATGAAGGGGCTGTGAGCGCCATTAGCTGTCGGCATTAGCAGCGACACTCCGTAGAACTCTTGAGTTCAAATTACTCTACAAATCAGTGTCTCGGTAAAAGAGGAACCGTTTCTTGTTGTCTCGGCATGAAAGAGGAACAAGACAAGAACTGAAAGGTAGACAGGAAGGGCCAGCCATGAAAATAGAAGATGATGTTCTGTGTTAAAAGTCGTTGTGGTTTTGATTTGACGTGTGTATATATCCTGTCTGTGACGCATGAAGGGGCGTCAGTAAATCAAACCCTGATGCTATAAAAATCTGTGTATGCTTTAATTAAGTTGAAGACCACTTGCTGTCTGCGTACAGAGTGTTCTTCCCACGCGTGTATTAAAATCATCGTTTGACTTCACCCGGCCGGATCAGTGTGGTTATTCTTCGATCACCTCTTGTATCCTTCCTCAATTTTTGAACCTTAACACCAGCTAGCTTCAACCGCAGCTGTGCTGCACCGATCTCACGGAACTGCAAAACCACAAGCTTTCGCACCAAAGTCATGCAGCTACCGCATTTACAATCCAGCGTGGCCGTTGTTGTGCACGTCCTACTTGAAAGACGTGTGGCGTAGGACTTGGAAGACGTATGTCTTTCAAGTATGTAGCTCCACAGCCAAATGTAGTTGTTGTGGTCGAGCGGGCAAGGCGATGGATTAGAAATCCTTTGGGGTCTCCCCGCACAGGTTTGAATCCTGTCGACAACGGTCAGCTGTTTTGCGGCAGTCCAGACGATGATTTGAGAAGAAGCCACGGCATGGAGATCGCCTGAGAAGGTGCCAGGCCTTTGCTTGTGAAAATAGAGCACGCAGAAGCAATGGACCCAGCTATGTCCTGACAAAATTAGGCACATATTCAGTAAACATGGCATCCTTCAATTGGTCTTTTAGCCACCCCAGACATGCCCCCGTGTAGTCGTCCAGGATCCTGTCTGAGTACCGCCAATGACTGATGCGTCTGACAAATGCTGATTGCTTTGCAAGAGGACTGGGATCGGGATTGGAGGGACAGCGGATTTCACCGGGAATGGGACAACAGCAGAAATAGCTTCAAACATCAAACATTACTGCATGAAAAGCACAAAGAGTGGACACATTTCATTGTTTGGAACACTGCTTTTCACTTCAGCTCTTTGCATGTAAAAACTTTGCTCTTCTCCACAGCTGGCTGACGGACACGCAAAAGTGCAAGCAAGAGTGGCCACAGACCCACTATGCCGGCCTTTGTACACTCTCTCCATCTAATGATAGAGAGGAAGGATACATTCACTACTTCTAGCCTCCACTATTCAAATTCAGTATTTTCACAGCGTCCTAAAAGCTTCCTGAAAAGCCTTTACACTGTTTTCCAAAACGCTGCTGTGCTGCCCCTTTAATCCTCCCCAGTTCCCTCAGTTTGAGATCCTTCTTGGACTTGGTGTCATGGTACTCCAAGTTTTGCCAAACTTTGCAACTGTTGTAGCCCCTATGTGTGGCTGTGCTAACGACAAGAACACTTTCACATGGACTTCAGGTGCACAAGCGAGCTTTGAAGAAGTAAAAAAACTCCTGGTGAATAGTCCTGCACTGGCACTGTTTGACCCTGCCTTGCGTGTTGTGATCTCTACTGATGCAAGTGACTATGGGCTTGGTGCTGTATTTGCTCAAGTGCAACCTGATGGCACAGAAAAACCTGTGGCGTTTGCTTCCCGCACACTGTCTGCAACAGAACAAAAGTACTCAACTGTTGAAAAAGAAGCTTATGCTTGTGTGTGGGCTGCAGAGAAATGGAGAACGTATTTGTGGGGCCGACGTTTCACTCTGCGGACAGACCACCAAGCTCTGACAACGCTGCTGAGCACCAAAGGGTTTAATAGGGTTGGCATGCGCATCGCCCGCTGGTCTGCCCGCCTCCTGTGTTTTGACTATGATGTTATTTGCCGCCCAGGTTCTCAGAACTATACAGCTGACTGTCTCTCTCGCCATTCCACATCAGATTCAGATCATGAAATGGTAGCCCAAGTTTCTGCTGCCATGTCCTCACTTCCAGTTGCGGACTTTGACTCTGCCTGTTCAACTTGCCCTGAACTGGTTGCTTTGCGTTCACAAATACAAAGTGGCTGGCCTGCCTCAATCAAAGCACTTGAAGTCACGCTTGCACCTTACTACAAAATCCGTAATGAACTCTCAACCCTAAGTGATTATGTTCTCAGAGGCTCAAGGCTCATTGCACCACTTTCAGTGAGACCTAAACTGATTGCACTGGCACATGAAAGTCACCATTGTGCGCACAAAACAAAGATTAAGAGATCTCTACTGGTGGCCAAAAATGGACTCACAAGTTCAGTCTGCCATAACCTCATGCCTCCTTTGCCAGTCCAATGACAAAACTGCACATACTAATCCTGCTCCTCTCCAACCCGTCCCACTGCCTGATGGACCGTGGAAAAAACTTGGTCTTGACATTGTTGGGCCTTTTGATACTGCAATACCTGCTTGTAGATACGTCATAACATTGACTGACTACTACTCCAAATGGCCTGAGCTTGCCTTTTCACCTTATGCTACTACTGATGATGTCATTCAGTTCCTCTCATCTGTCTTTAGTCGTCATGGCAACCCAGAGAACATCATAACTGACAATGATGCACAGTTCACCTCTGTAATGTTCACCTCATTCCTCCAGAATAGAGGCATCTCCCACAGCAGAACATCTGTCTACTACCCAGCTGCAAACGGAGCAATCGAACGGTTTCATCGTGCCCTCCGCACCTGTATCCAGACATCAATCCAGCAGTCGAAACCATCGAAGGCAACTGTGCTGGATTGGCTTCAAGTTTACTGTGCAACACCGCATGCAACTACTTCCCTCTCTCCCTATGAACTCCTGTATGGCAGGAAGATGCGTACTATACTGGATGTACTCCCTTTGCCTCCTGCTGTGTCTCCACTGGATGACGTTGCACGTCACTCAGTTCAGAAATATCAGTTGAAAATGCAACGTTACACTGATGGTAGGCGTCACGCACGGAAACCTTCTTTTCTACCAGGAGAGAGTGTGAGGATAAGGAAACCCCACCATGTTCCCAAAGGACATCGCAGATTTACCCCTCCTGTAACAGTAACAAAAGCCAAAGGCTTGAATGCCTGTTTACAGGCATTCTAGAACACAATATTTTGTACATTTGTACATTTCAAGCACTCTATTTTTTGGAGTCTATTTTTATCCTAAAAGATTCGATCCAGTTGCTTGTATTTTGCCTCCGCGTGTGAGGTCAGTATGCAGCGGCTCAAGCTGTACAATGTTCCAGGGGAAATAGTTTTATTCACCCTTTGACACTGTTAGTTCCACACGAGGTAGATGTTTTACTGCTGCAGACTAAGATGACATTTCTGTCACCTGCAAGACACTTGTCTTTAATGTCACTGCTACTCTCACAACCACACATAACCATAAAGCGGTGCACAACTCTAAACCTGTCAACCTTTTTGCCCTTTTGCATGTAAAGCTGCAGAGAAACAAACCTGACTGGTAACAAGATGGCGCTGGTGTGCGTGGTTGCTCGTCTGTCACTCCCAAGTTTGTTTCTGTTTCTGTTATTTCTGATCTGTGTCATTCACCAAACAAAGTCTCTGCTGAGGTATAATCGCCAGACATGATGATCACCTTTTATTGAAAAGGTCGGCAGCACCAGGCCTCTTATCACAGCTCCTGACTCTGACCCCTCTGTCTCTGTCCCTTGCACTGCTGATTTCACTCAGTTTGAGTTGGTGATTCTCCCCATTTCACAGGATGCGGGGTGTCATATTAACCCCGCAGGTTCCCCCAAGGATCCTTTCCCTCCACAATTTTTAAAAGAAATCTTTCCTAGTATAGGGCAGTCTGTCCTTGACATTATTAACAGCAGTCTGTCCTCTGGTGTGGTTCCTGCAATTTTCAAATATGCAGAAGTGCAGCCACTGCTTAGGAAACCTGGCCTTGATCACACAGTTTTAGCTAATTATAGACCGATTTCCAAGCTGCATTTTCTTTCCAAGTGTTAGAGAAAATTGTTTTGTGTCAACTGAAATATTTTATAGATGTAATGGCATCCTTGAGGTTTTTCAATCAGGATTTAAAACCCTTTATAGCACAGAATCTGCATTCTTAAAGGTCTTTATTCTGGTAACCACGTTGTTCTGGTCTTGCTTGACCTGACTGCTGCCTTTGACACAATAGACGACAAAATTCTAATATCTCGATTAAATGATCTAGTGGTTATTGGTGGCACTGCACGTAATTGGTTTAGTCTTATTTGGCAAACAGACCTTTCTCTGTCAGCTTCTCGGTTCCAAATCATCGTCTGCTTCTCTGTCATGTGGCGTCCCACAGGGGTCAAGTTTAGGGCTCTTTTTACTGTATATATTGCCTTTGGGTTTTCATTGTTCCACTGATGACTGTTAAATATATTTGCCACTAAAGCAGAAGGATGGCATCTCCATAAAACCTCTCTTGACATGTCTAAATGACATTAAAGCTTGGTTGGCTTTAAACTTCTTAAATTCTAATGATAAGAAAACAGAGGTGTTGGTGTTTTGAACTAGTGGTCCTTGTGAGTTCTCCTCTGTTGATTTGGGACCCCTGGAAGTTTATCTTAAACCTGTTATTACTGACCTTGGTTTTAAGTTGGACAGTGATTTTAAATTGGACAGCCAAGTTAGAGCCTGTGGTGAAGTCCAGTTTTTATCATTTAAGGTGACTGACAAGAGTGAAATCTTTTCTTTCTCTGCAGCACTTTGAAAGGTTTTACTTTTATTTCCTCAGTTAGTTATTATTACCAATTTATCAATTTTATTGGATAAATTGGAAAGATATGGTATTTGAGGGAAAGCTGGTAACTGGTTAAAAAGTTACCTAACGGGTCGGGAACAATATGTTAGCATAGGGCATTACCATTCAGAGAAACTTGGTATTACATGTGGTGTTCCCCAAGGGTCAGTGTTGGGACCAAAACTTTTCCCTGTATACATAAATAATATTTTTGATGTTTCTCAAGTACTTAAACTCATACTGTTCGCAGATGACACCAACATATTTTTCAGTAGCGATGATTATACTGATCTTGTAATGACCGTAAACAGGGAGCTAAAATTAATTAAAAAATGGATGGACATAAATAAATTATCATTAAATATAAATAAAACTAAAGCAATGTTTTTGGAAATTTAAAATATAATATAGAATTACCAATTATCATTGAAGGTGTACCAATTGATAATGTGAGTGAAAACAAATTTTTGGGAGTCGTAATTGATAATAAAATTTCATGGAAACCCTACGTCTGTCAGGGTCCTGGGACTGGGCGACCCAGGATCCCTGGGCAGTCATGGACCTGTGTATTATTATTATGTATTTTTGGTGTCGTTTCCCCTTCTCTGTGCGTGTACATATGTGTGTTTCTCTGTGCTGTGTTAGTCTGTGTCCCACTCATATGTTTAGGCGAGGTATTTCATTTCATTTTTTCATTTATTTATTCATTTTCAGGCACAACAAATACCTATATTGAACATAAAATACACAAAACAAAAAACAAAACTTGCCTGAAAAAGGAGTGGGACGAAGAAAACTTATTAAATCCCACCCCTATTCTCACTCATCAACAAAAAAAAACAATAAACTTCCCGCAGCCAAGCCCATCATTGCATACAGACCCATCAACAGCCCCGGGCAGATACAAGCATCTAAGCGG